GATGGATGGATGGATGGATGGATGGATGGATGGATGGATGGATGGATGGATGGACGGATGGATGGATGGACGGATGTTTCATAGTTACTCACAGGATGAAAGGATGTTGTTTGAGCCTCCTGGGCGAGACTTGGTTTAAGATTAGTATTGGAGGGCAAACCACTGAAGGTGAATCTGAGCTCATTCTGTAGAGGATTGAGAGCATCTTCAGGACAAGACTGTAAGAGGATGGAAACATTAGGATAAAGTAGCCCACTATATCAAATCAATGTCTTTTTTTTCATGTTGGATCTCTAATAATCTTTTGATGCTATTAAACTTTACCTTGATAAAAAATGCCACACGATTGCACTTTTGTCCGGTTAAATCAACAACAACTGATTCGGTTTGGTCTCTCTGATCCTTACTGATGTAAGCTCGGTTCTTTGGAGTTGAACGAGTTGCATCCAGTGTTAAAGTGTAATTAATCTGGGCTTGAACTGAAACAGACATTTGATTTGTTTGAAAATTATACACACAGAGATTCAAATGACAGTGCAAAATGAAGGAACCTGCATCTCTTCCAGACAGTCTTCTCATGGTGAAACAGATCATAAGTGTTCCTTCTAGGGGTTTTGTGCAGTCTACATTTTGAGTTGGGATTTCCTTTGGGTTATACGACACTGTGGCATCCACCATCACTACAGGCCTGGATCTAGAAGAGGACACATTTGGGGAAAACACATCACCAGGATTTTGCTTTGCAAATACAATTCAAACAAAATGAGGAACTGAAGACTTGGCATGAACTCTTTTGATTGTGATTACGCCATCATATGTTACAAAAGCTAGGACCAGAATAGTTGAAGCCAAAAAAGAAATATGCCTTCTAGTGTCTGACTGCAGTACAAATTTAAAGTCCTGCCCCTCAATGTAAACAAATGGGATATTTTTCCTGTTCCTTGCTGATGTGTGTTCAAATATGCATTTTTAATATGTATTTTCTTTCTAGTTAGGCATTTAATGCTTAAAAATGTACATCACACTGTGAAATGATCAGATTGTATCACAGTGTGACAGATAGATCAGATACGCTCTAACAGAGTGTGATAGGATCACAGTCTGTCAGAGCGTTGAGATGGTGTGTTGGAGGAACCTTCATATTGAGGGTACAGATCTATATTCCTAGTGCACAGCCTCTGGCTCAAAAGATCCAACTTGGCACTCCCAAAAAAACCATTTTGTCTTCACTCATGGACAAAGGCAGTTAATGGAGGTGCTTCGAGCGGCTTTATTTATGCCAAAGGCAGTTACAATTAATGACCAGACTAAGACTTACCTGAGTAAGACAACTTTACCCTTTGAACCCACGGCTAAGTCAGGCAGTGTGTCTCCACTCTGATCATAGGACCACTGACTGATTGACAAACCAAAGAACTTTAGTCCTGATTGGACTTCGGAGGCAGCGATTCTCTGTGAATTGAAAAACCTCCATTTTTAAAATTTAAAACTACTAAAAATCACTCCTTGTCTTTCATTGTTTGCATTGAAAACTGTAAGAGTTATCTCACCTGTGAGTAGATGGAGTTGATTGTTCCATCACCTTTACTGTGAAATACATAAATGGAGCCTTGGTTGTCATTCTCCAATGGAGCTCCAACAGCCAACTCGTTGTTTTTGTCTGCGTTTAGATCAGGCAGGACCGCAAGAGAAGATCCAAACCTTCCTCTGTCTGATGGATCCCCTCGTAGTACAGTTAGAGAATCAAAGTGGCACTTGACATCCTGGTGACAATGTAAAAATGAGAGAAAGTAATTCAGGCTTATAAAATTATAAACAGTCTAACTAATATATTGAAGAACTTGCTGTCATTTACCAGACGAGTTAGGGTGCAAACATAAACTCGTCCCTCTCTGTCCTGGTCCTTGTACATCGGAGCAGAGACGAGGATCAGATCAGTGTAGCTGTCAGAATTCACATCCATGGCACAAACTTCTGCCCCAAAATATCCACCAATCTAGAACAGTCCAAGCAATAAATTATGTTTAGAAAATGCAGAGTAAAACAATAGGCACAATGGTTTTAATGTGTTTAATAAGCAGTAAGTATGTATACCTGGTGTGGATAGGGGTCGATTATTTTCTGACGATCTTCTCTGTAAACAGTGATGACAGCTCCTCTGTGTTTATATCTTGGAGCCCCAACAACTGTCAGACTGCCATATTTGGTTTCAGCAATAGCCATGGAATAACCTTAAATGGTCAGGTAAAGACAGCAGAGACATCATGTCCAAATGGTAAACTTGCCTCAAAATTTCAATCTTAAATCTGAACTATTATAAAGTTTTTACACTAAAATGTCTCAGTTTAATGCTATTTTGACTATTTCATTTCATATAATTTGACTAGAATTCTGCTGATACCCAACCTTATAATTTAGTTTTAATGTAATTTTCTTACCAAGATAGCTGTCAGGCTCTATATTTATTGGCTCATATGACCCAATGTTTTTGCCATCTTGCCGTGAGTACTTTTTGTAGCCTCCTCTCCACTGATTAGCACCGACAGCAGTCATTTGAATTCCCTGAAATGCAATCAAAAAGTTTGAAAATATAAATGTAAATGTAACATAGTATTATCATAGTATAATTTCCAGGGTTTTTTTTTTGTTTGTTTGTTTGTTTTGTTTTGTTTGCTGTTGTTGTTTTACCTCAGGTAAATAAGCTACTCTGAACCCATCTTGAGACATTTCCTGTTTCAGTGTCTCGCCACCGGTTTGAGATCCTATAGGATGTCAAAATAAAAATAATATAAAAAGACAGATTGAATTTCTTCCTGATCTTCTTGAGTTCTTTACAAGCATTTTAAACATTACATTTCTTGAGTTTAACTAAATTACATTTTATTCATAGGTTTAAATTTTACAAGAAAAGTGCAAATTTTAGAATATTAAATGTCAGAATTGTTCAGATTTCTACCGGGCCTTTCAGGATGAGTAATAAAGTTAAACATGAAAACAATTAATTTGGTCAAAAATTTACGGCTAATCTGAATTTTATTTTGTAAGACAACATCTGTACCTTCAACTGAAAAAATTCTTTCCTGCAATTTCCCCTGTATTTTTTCAAGAGCCTCAAAGGTATCACTTTTAAACACGTAGTCTTTGGGTGGATCAGATGCAATTTGTTCAAGCTCCTTTAATGCATCCACCCTTGAAAATGCAGTGCCCACCTAAAGATGTAGAATGTGAAAGAGATCATACTTCATTTCACCAATTTACAAATTTTATTAACCATCAGCTCACTTCATGTTACTTAAACAAAATTTAAGGGGCTGCAGTTATCTATTTTAATTATAATATCCATTTAAAACTTACCCCGATAGAAAATCGAGTGATGCTTTTATTTTTGGCTAATTCTATTGCCTCTGGTAATTTATCACTGTCGGTAGATATTCCATCTGTAATGACTATCAAAATCTTCTTCACATTTGACCTTGAGCCTGTATATCCTGAGAAGACAGCATTCCTGTAAAAAGAAAGATTATTTTAACTTA